CGGGTTGGGGTTCGGGTCGTGTTGTTCCGTTTTTAGAGTAAAAGGCCGGCGTGTGTGTTTAGACCGACCAGGACCTGTGAGATCCGGGGCTGGTGCCCAGTGGAGAGCGGCACTGTGCCCACGTAAGTCTCTCCCCTCCAACCCGCCACCCCCACCCCCAGGACGGGGCCCCAGGACCTCAGAGCCTGCCCCCCACCACCCTCCTTCCCTGCAGGAAGCCCCTACTGGTCCAGGCCGAGAACTTCACGCTGTTCATCAAAAACACCGTCACCTTCCGCAAATTTAACTTCTCCAAGTAAGGTGGGGGCGTCCGGACTGGCCAAAGACCCTCTTTGTCCCCTGCCTGGCCTGACCCCTGCCCACCTCTCTCAGGTCCAATGCCTTGGAGACCCAGGACCCCACTTATTTCAAGCGCTGCCGCTACGACCCAAGCTCCAGCCCCTCCTGCCCGGTGTTCCGCATCGGGGACCTTGTGGCCGCGGCTGGAGGGGTCTTTGAGGACCTGGCACTGCTGGTGGGTCCATGGGTCGGGACAGGGTTCCAGGAGGGCTGGGACAGTGTTCCGGGCCCGCGAGCTGGTGGAGCAATGCTGTGCTGTGTACAGGGTGGTGCCGTGGGCATCCAAGTCCGCTGGGATTGTGACCTGGACGCTTGGGGCTCTGACTGCCGGCCCCACTACTCCTTCCAGCTGCAAGAGAGGAGCTACAACTTCAGGTGCGGCCCCCACTGCCCACCTGCGCCTCAGCTGGTCCTCCTCCACCTGTCCTTCTGTGGCGGTCAGGACAGACCACCCTCCCAGAACTCCGGACGCCTCCTGTGTGTGGGTGGAGGGCCCAGGGGCAGGAGGGGATTTTCTCAGCTCCAGGTCCCCCAGCACAGGCTCCGCCCAGCCTCCCACCAGCGCCCCCCCCCGACCCCGCACCTCTGGCTGCTCCTAGAACCACCCCCAGCCCCTCCTCCCTCCCCCTTCCACCACACAGAAGGCTTTCTTTTTTAATTTTCCCTTAAAGCTTTATCAGAAAATTTTTAAAAATCTGTAGACAATGTCAGAGTTCAGTGTTGTGAACACCCGTACAGTGGCACCTGGGTTGAGTAGGGCTTGCTTTTGTTTTTACCACATTGCTGCGTTTGCTCTCTCTCTCCCTCTAGAGCGAGTGGGTGCATTTAGATAGATCTCACACTGAACCATTTGAAAGGAAATGGCAGACATCCGGTGGACACTCGCCCCTCTCAGGGCTGTCCTGAGAGTGGGGACCTTTCCCAAAGGACCGCTGTCCTATTGTCACGCTCAGGAAATGTAACATTGGAAAAATGAATCTAATGTTTAAATTTCCCTCCCCAGCTGTGCCCGTAATAGTCCTAAATCTTTTTATTTTCCAATCCAGGATTCACTCAAGGATCTTTTTTTCTAAGTGTAGTTGGTTTACAACATTGTGTCAGTTTCTGGAGTACAGCATCGTGATTCAGTTATACATATAAATATGTTATTATACACATTCTTTTTCATATTCTTTCCAGTATAGTTTATTATAGGATGTTGAATGTAGTTCCCTGTGCGACCCAGTAGGACTTCGTTGTTTGTCTGTTTTGTATACAGTAGTTTGCGTCTGCTAACCCCAGACTCCCACAGTTTGTTTTCTCTGTCTGTCTCTGTTTTGTAAGTAAGTTATTTGTCATATTTTAGATTCCCCATGTAAGTGAAATCATATGATATTTGTCTTTCTTTACCTGAGTTACTTCACTTAGGATCATCTCCAGGTCTATCCATGTTGCTGCAAATGGCATTATTTCATTCTTTTTAACGGCTGAGTAGTATTCCATTGTATACATGCAACACATCTTCTTTATCGTCATCTGTCACTGGACATGTAGGTTGCTGCTCAGGGATCTTGCATGGTGTTTCTTGTCATGTCTTTGAGTCTCCTAAGCAGACCCCCCCACCCCTGGAATCCTGTCCTTCTACCACCTCATGTCACCTTGTCACGTGTGTGTACACACAGGCACGCACACACCCACATGCACCTGTGCTCACACAGCCGCCAGGTCTGGAGATGATGCCTTTGACTTTTCTCCCTGGACCTGGCCTGGCCTGGCTTCCCTGACCTCCTGCCCTTTGTGATGATTAGGGACTGGCCCCCGACCCAGGGTCTGTTCCCCATACCCCTGTGTCCTTACCGGCTCTACTTTCTCTGTCAAGAGCACCTCCCTGACTGCTGGAAAACCATCCTGAGAGTCTCCCTTGCAGCAAACCTTCCCAGGTCCACGGGGGAGGAGTGAGATCCCTCCCCAGACCCTCACAGCCCTGGGTCTGCCCCCCACCTCCCCCACCCCCACGGCCAGTGTCTGTTTAGGGACCTTTCTGCCCCTGTCCCCTCCACAGGCAGGGAGCTCCTGAGAGGCGGGTCCCAGCTTGCTCCTTTGCTGTATCTGCAGTGACAACACAGGGCTGAGACCCAGGGATGGGGCTGAGGGGTTCATGGAGTCAGTGGATGAGTCAGATGGAGGCTTAGGAGGGCCAGCCTGGCCCCGGAGCAGGCAGAGCAGGCCACCAGGCTCTCTCCTATACCCAGGACAGCCACTCACTGGTGGGAGGCCTCGGGCGTGGAGGCCCGGAGTCTGCTCAAACTCTACGGGATCCGTTTCGACATCCTCGTCACAGGGCGGGTAGGTGGCAGGGGTGGACGGGGGTGGAGGGGAGGTGGTGGTGATGGTCCTGGCTGAGGCTCACCCAGATCTCTCAGGCAGGGAAGTTCGCGCTCATTCCTACGACCATCACTCTGGGCACAGGAGCAGCTTGGCTGGGTGTGGTGAGTCTGCCTAACGTGGGCTCCCTCTGGTTTGGTGAGCATGGGCCCCTGGTGCCTGAGGTCAGCCCTTGGGGTGAGGGCTGGGGATGTGGCAGGAGGGGTGGGCAGGTTGGGGGCCAGGACACAGGTCAGTCCTGCCTCTCCCAGATCACCTTCCTCTGTGACCTACTGCTGCTGTACGTGGATGGAGAAGCTCCTTTCTACTGGAAGACCAAGTATGAGGAGGTGAGCTGCGGGCCGACCTGGCCCCTGGGCTTCGCTACACTTCTGGAGGGTACAGGCTAGAGTTCCGATCTGCTGTTCTCACCTGCAGGCAAAGGCTCCAAAGGTGACCACCAGCCCTGAGCAGACAGAGCAGGCATCCACACCCCCGTGCCCGGCTGCCCAGAGGCCTTAGGGAGGACCCAGCATCTGTCCCGATGGCCACGGCTGCTACTGGGAGCTGGACACCGGGACCGTGGCCCTGCCTCCACTCACTGGCCCCCACTCGCCAGCCCTTCCTGAGGCTAGTAGCTGTTCCCTGCTGTTGGGGGTCTGGGCTGGGAAAGGTGGGGGCCTTGCCTGGGGAACCTCATGGATGGAGCCCCAGCACGGGGGGGCGAGGGGGAGGAGAATTCCATCCTTCAACTCCCAGGCGGACCATCCCTCCCCTGACTCAGGCCTCAGTAGGGTGCTGCCTGGGGAGATACAGAAGCCAGTTTTGCACAGGGACCTGCAGCAGAGCATGTCACAGGGCACTAGTCCCGAGGGGCTCCTGCTGTGTCTGTGTCTGGAGAACTCTCTCCCAGGCTCAGCCCACTCACCAGTGGTCAGAACAGACCCTCCCACTGTCTGTGCAGACCCCAGCCCTCTCCCCTGGCAGTGCCCCCGTCGCAGGTAGAGCCCCCACACTCTCAGCTGCGCTGCTCCAGAGTCCATGCTGCCCGGTCCAAGGCAGGGTAGACAGAGGCCTGATAAGAGGGTGCCTCCGCTGTGCTGGTGCTGGGCTGCCTGCGGCAGGGCCCCACCCAGCCTGGGGCCTCATCCATGGAATGCAAGTGGGGCCAGATGACCCAACCCCCTCGGGCCCCCAGGCAAGGGCACAGGCACCCACTCATTTTCTGTGTACCAGCCCCTTCTGGGGACAGCCCTTGGCCTGTGGAGGGCTGCGATTGGGAGGAGAGGATGGAGGAGCTAAGTTGGCAGTACTGGAGGCTCTAGGACCTTCTCTGGGCCCCCTGGGTGACACCCAGCCCAGCCTTCTGGAACATGTTGGGGTGGGGAGGATTGTGTCTGGAATTCACTGCTGCCCAAGGTCATACCTAAGAACCAGCCTGAGGCAACAGTTTGAAGGAGACCCTGTCCTTCACTTCAGGTGGAGTCCAGCCCTCTGGGCTGGAGGGAAAGTCCCAAACAAATCACAGAGGCCCCCAGAGGCTGGCCTGGTTCTGGCTCTGGAATCCTCATGGGGGTCTGAGTCCTGCCTGCTGGGAGCTCCCCACGCCGCAGGGGGTGCCCACAGTTGAGGGAGGGACAGGCTGTAGGGGTCTTGGCCCCGAGTCAGCAGCAGGGATTTGGGGGAGCCCCCTGGGAGGTGAGGGGCTGCTTTCTCATGGGCCCTGGTGAGCAGGCGTGCTGGCTGCTTGCTGGTGCAGTGACGTGGGCTGAATGGGGAGGGCCAGGCTGGGGCTCAGGCTGGGCTAGCATCTGGAACCATCTGGCACCTGGAGCCTCAGCAAAGCCTTGGGGTTTCTGCCGCCTCTGGATCCCTGCGTCCCTGCGGTGGGGTCACATGGACAGGGGCCCAGAGAAAGCTGATGTGATGGCTACACGATGAAGGAGTAAAGTCTGCCAAAGCCAGCAGCTTCCCGCATGGTCCTTTCGGGCAGGAACGCGAGCTGGAGGTGTCTGTGGTGGTGAAAGCATCACCGGGGGGACCAGCGGGGCGGGCCAGGGTGAGCCTGGGGACCCCCCCGGACCAGGTGGGCTGGAAGGAATTTGGAGCAGGCCCAGGCTCTTACGTACCCATCCCCACGCAGGTACCACTGGAGCCTTTACCCAAAGCCCTTGGGGATGGGGCAAAGACGGAGAGCTGGGAGCACCAGCCATGACCGCTGGAGAGCTGCCACAAATCTGAGTTTGGAAACAGCTGTTGACTCAGTCTACAAGTGGGTGTGCACCCCAGGGTGTGGGCCAGGTGGCCGCATGCCTGTGTGAGTGTCTCTCTGCCTCCCTGGGCAGGACTCGGGCACATAACACGCTTTCTGGGAGCCCCGGGGAAACCAAGGGGGCCCCAAAATTCCTCTGCCCTTTCTAGGCGGCATCCTGGGGGCCCAGGCTCAACTTTCTGGGTCCACCCGTCCTGTGGTGAGGAGCCTGGGGAGGGGAGTCTGACTCTGCCCCAGTCTTGGACCCCTCTGTGCCTGGTGCCTGCTGCTGGGAAGTGTAGCTTCCTCTGAGCTGGGCAGAGGGCACTGGCCTGAATGTCCCCGACTCAGGGCTGTCCCAGGGCTGCACACCCCCTCCACTGCCTTGCAGAGCTCTGTGTCTTTGCTGTGCACTGGGGACAAGTGGTTCCCGGAGGCAGGTGAGGGCTCGGCGCCACAAGGAACAATGGATGCTGGCAGGCTACGTGCAGTTATTACTGTAGATCCCTGAGGCTGGGGACTCTACCCCACCGGCCCACCCCACCTGCCCAGGTAGCTGGAGTTGGTCATAAACTGGAAAGCACTGGGCAAAGAGTCCACCGCACCAGCGCTGGCCACGCCCATTTCCAAAGATGTGAAGCTCAGTCCCTTCAGTCCAGAGGTCCCAAGGACCCCATTGGGTGGCCAGGCCCACAAACTGGAGCCACCCTGGAGAGAAGGCAGGCCTCCCGAGGAGGCGGGCAAGGGTGGGCAGGTCCCCAGCCTTCCTCACGGACTGGAGGGCTGCTCGGCGTGGCCGGGCTCCTGGGCTGGCGCCTCGCTGGGGAGCTGCACGGCTTGCACTGTCCCCTCCAGGCTGCCGCTGGGGAAAACCACGTAGCGTGTGGCGGTCAGCCCTGCCAGCTCCCGCCGGTTCTCCTTGCTGTGCCAGATGCCATAACAGAAATACACGGTGAGCCCTGCAATGGGCGGGGGAGCATGAGCGGCAGGTCCCGGGGCTCGCCCTCCTCCGGGCTGCCCAGCACCCAGCCCAGGCCCCACTCACCGATGAGCAGCCAGATGGAGAAGCGCACCCAGGTCAGGTAGCTCAGCTTCAGCATGAGGCAGACGTTGAGGAGGACGCTCAGCGCTGGAGTCAGTGGCACCAGGGGGATCTGAGGCACAAGGTCAGGGCTGGGCTGGGGCTTCTCCC